CTCTCTCTCTCTCTCTCTCTCTCTCTCTCTCTCTCTCTCTCTCTCTGTCGATTGAATGTTTCGGCGCGCACATTCCCTCCACGAAATTCAACGTCGTCGAAGTCGCATTCGGTTGTGCGAGCGAGCGTGTTCACCTCGTGGACACCTCGTGGAAAATTTTGCATTAATTAATTAAACACGACCCGGATCCGCTTGGTGGTTTTCAGCGCGGTAGGCCGACCGCTGAACCGACGAAAATTCGCGGGGCACGTTCGCGTCGACAGTATGCAGAGCGAGCGGTTTTGCATTTTGTTTCTTCGGCCGCTCGCTCGCTCTACCGTGCCGATCTCTCAGGCTCGTCGACGCAATGAAGATCGCACGCGATACAGGCTTCCGCGATGCAATAATACCGGTTTGCGATGTTCGGCGAACGTGCACGCCGCACAGAAACGACTTCCAGTCGGTGTCTGGCTGGCTGTCGTTCATCCAAGTGAAGGTTCTTCTCGAGGCCCGCCTCGAGAGGATGAAAGACAAGCGCAGATAGGAAAAAACAGCAAACGAATAACTACGAAAATTAGACCGATTATGATTAACTGACTGACTAACTGATTGACTTTAATGAATGACTGAATTATTAATCAACTATACTAAAAAAAAGACGAAGATTTTGATTTATTTGTGGGATGTATAGTTTATTTCTGTGAAGTCAGTTTCATTCTCAGTTAATAATAATAGTTAATAATAATGCAGTCTCTCAAAGTTAGTTATGAGTGTGCACTGAACAGAAAATATTAGAAAATTTATTTGTGGAGTATAAAACTTATTCGCAGAAAAATAAATTTTATATCACAGAAATAAATTTGATTTCAGTGTACTGAGAAAAAAGTACTAGAACATTCCTTTGTGGAGAATATAAAGTCTATTCGCAGAAATAAATCTATATAATATTACAGAAATAAATTTAAATAAATTATATAGAAAAAAGAAAAAATCCTATAAAATTTATTTGAATATAAGAGTATAAAAAGTTTATTTTCACAGAAAGAAATCTTATATCATACACAGAGAAATAAATTTTATTTCACAGAGATAATTTATATCCTACAAACAAATTCTCAAATATTTTTTTTCTCAGTGAGGCTAAAGAGAGTGTAATAATTAAATCATACTTTTAATATTAAGCTACCTTTGATAATCGTGCAGCTGGAGCCCGAAAGAAAAAGATGTAGATTGGGGAGTAGGAAGAAAATGTGGTCCGTGATTAAAATTGCGTACAAATTTGTGCATTATACGCACATATGCCTTAACACGGACCGGGATGGTGCGCGGGTTCACACGCGTAAACGAGCAACCGATAGTACTAGAGATGCTTTTGAACGCGCCAACGTAAGATACGACGTCGCCAATTATCGTCACTCCTACGATTACGTCTTATCAATGCGTGCAAATGTGCTGTGTTCGCTTTCAGATAATATATACAAAGTGCCACGAGATACTTTAAAGACGCTGAAAACTCGAAATGACGACGAGGCAACGCCTAATTGAAGACATGTGTCGAGAAAAAATCCGCTTGAGAGCAACAAATCTTTTTGCTGACGAGATGTATTGCTCATAAAAAGCAAATCTGAGTTGGAAGTCACTTAATTCGCTGAGATACACGTGGAGAATTCTTTTCTCTCTTTCTCTCTTTTTCCCTCTCTCTCGTGTGCGCACACAAGTTGCACAAATTATAAATATAGAATAACTATGAGTGACTAAACTGTTACCAATCATACGCATCGGCGCGTGACGGATTTTTATGAAATTCGCATTAAGTTACTCGGTTAGTCATGCCGTTCGCGAAAGGATACTTGTTACCGGACTTAAATGAGTAATAACTTAATGGCTGGTTAGGAGAAGTGAATTGCGCAAATTAGACGAGGCACTACAATTAAGCATACTATTACATTAATCCAACGACTAAGAGAACGAGAATAACGTTGAGTTAGTGCAAAACAATACGGCATTTAGTTTATTTTTCGACGTTCTGTTTCAGTAACGATTGTTAAGTCTCAATCGGGTCTTCGTGAAATGTTGGATTTCGCCTCGGAGATCGGGGGGGGACTTCGTCGAGGAATGTCCTTTCGCGAACCCGCATTTTCCGCACGTCGTGCAATTTCCTCGCGTGAACGTAAATTCGCGTGAGCGAAATGGCGATTCCGTGCGAAACGGACAGCCGATCACGAAAGCAACGCGTCGGAGGGATCGTTGAGCGACAAGCGGCACACCGCAGCGACGTCGCGACGAAGAATGCTCGCGCCGCTCCGTTTTTCCACGGCAAGTGGGTGCATAACCTGTTGCTAAGAGGCCCGCGGAAATTCGCACGCGAAACGGTGCGAATCGCCGACGATGAGGATGCGCGCGCGCGCGCGCGGGCAGCGCGAACGCGAACGCGGAATCGGGCTCGACGTATTTTCAAAGAGAGAAACAAGTGTGAAACACTTTCGAAGGACTGGAAAACGCTCCAAGGAATGAAACTCGCACAAATCAAAAATGCTATAAAATCTCTCTAGTAAATTTGCACTTTGTAACTTTCAAGTTGGAGATTATGGTGCACTACTTTTATATTGGAGCGCATAAATGTAAAAAATAATTTTATGGAGTTCTTAAAGGGAGATTAGACAAGAGTCTGAAATATATACACTCATGTGTACTTTATATATAAAACGTATACTTTTTAAAATTCTATAAAATTATCCTATTTATATATTAATTATTTTTTTATTTCACATATGTTCGATTTCAATTGCTCAGAATGCAAAAAAGAAATACAAGATAAGCTCTTAAAAGTTAGAAAAGAATCGAATATATACGTATGTGTACTCTGTAAGACTCTACAAAATTATCCTATTTTTACTTTTTATTTCACATATATGGAATATATAACTATATTATATTTAAATTGTCTAGAACACAAAAAAAAGATTCAAGATTATATCAGCTGTGTTACGTATGTTGGTTAAAAGTCTTTAACATGTGGTGGCGGGTCGCGATTATCCGAAATCACTAAGATAATTAACTGGTCAAAGTGCTTAACGAGACTGATGCTGACCTTGAAGAAATTCTCTATCTTATAACACACGAGAGGATACATGAACTTCGTTCTCACATATTCCGCGCTTCCTCATTTCTCATCGTGTTTCCGTTCGATTTTATCCGCGATATCATTAGTCAACGTTAATCGAATAAAGATGCTAATCTCTAACGCGGTATATCGCTCTGAAGTTTAATGAATGCATAGAAAAATATAATCCGACGATATTATTGAGGATATCAAGTTTCTTGTTCGTGAATAATTCTTCGTAAATATCGCGAATGAGGTGAGACTTCGAGGCTAAGTAATTAACCTATAACGCGTGTCGTTAGATATGATATTAAATTGAAGAATGAAACACTTCATAAATATCTATTCCAATTTTTCTTGGAAGAATTCTACATTCAGAGCTTTATTCCGACTCTTATTTGAAAAATTCTTCAAATTGCATAAAGTACTTTATAGAGTAATTCTTCAAAGAATTCTTCAAATTCTTGAAAGGAGATCTGGAATAACTCTGAACTGTTCGAAGAATTGGAATAGTTCTATATTTCATTTATTATAATTCGTAAGAACAAATACACTGAGAGCAAAAATGGTTGATCTAACTAAAATTACAGTTATTTTTAACTCCAATCATATTCTCTATGGCAGTATTGTAGTAATAACATGTGCATATAAGGTTATTATTACTAACATTATGGTAAAATTTAAAAATAATTTTCTTGACCATAATTTATAATAATTATTTCTCTATGAATTATATAGCTACAAATACCAAACATCTTTTTCCTCAGTGTACAATTCCGAAGGTTGCATTCCCCTGAAAGATTCTGTTAGACCTGTTAAAATTTTAACGTAACACGCGGCAAAGTGCATTGTAAAAGCGCGGCTATTGGAGGCATGGAACTCAAGGTACTCCGCGCTTCGGTACTCTCAAAGCCACTCATTTCAGCTAACGTATCTCCGGTCGACCGATATACGAGTGACTTACGACGAAAGTGATAGAGAACCACTCGGTTCGGAGACACAAGGAATTTCCATAAAACAATGCGGGTGAAAAGCCCACGTAGCTGCATTCCTTCTAGCATTTCCTAACGATAATGCCTGTACTCCAAAAATCAACGAGTTGTAACAAAGTGATAATGTCGGAGCCGAGTTGGAACAGGTCGAACTTTTTGCCCTTTCTCAGTCTTCAATTCGTAATTTTTTTATTACCAAGTTCCTTGCAGTCTCACTAATGATTTGCGTACTGATTCACGCGGACTTCGCTCGATACTGGTCGGACTGACGACTGCCAGCCCGACGCGTTCCCGCGACCTTCTCTCCGTGCGTTCTCCAAACTGCGCATTACCGCGTGGTCGCTCAGAAAAAATCATACCTGCTGCTACTGCTGCTGTTGTTGCTGCTGCTATGTTCGGCTCCGGATCGGAGCGGATGGATCCGTAAAATTTAACTCCATCACTGCCTCCGTCGTACCGAGGACACACAGAGCCCGAAAAGATAGAGAGAAAGAACGAGGGAGAAAAAGAGCGAGCGGAAGAAAGAGAGAGAGAGAGAGAGAGAGAGAGAGAGAGAGAGAGATGAAGAGAAAGAAAGAAGGAGAGAGAGAGAGAAAAAAAGAGAGAAAGAGCAGAGTTACACCTGGCGCGGTACGAGATGAGATCACTACCGCACTCACTGATCAACTGGCCCCACGCCCCACGTCCTGGGCCGCACGCACCTTTCGGTCCCTCGAGGTCCCCACTTCGTTCCCCCTACCTGGCTGCTCCCTGATCCCCGTAGCCGGCTTTTTTAGCCGGCGGACGTGGTGTTCGCGAACGGCGATTGGTGCGTTCAAATCCGACGTCGCGACGTCAGCGGATCGAACCGTCGGAAGAGGAAGGAGCGAGAGAACCGGTTCGTTCTCCTCGTCGCTCCGCGGGCGCACCATGTCTCGTACCTGTCCTTCTATCTACGTCTTCTACCGCTTCGTCCGTCCGTTAGTACCACTCGAGTCTACCTTGGGTGTCTTCTTGGCGCGCGCGTCTCCCTTCTGCCACCCGGTAGATCCGTTCTCGAGTGAACCGTCGGGAGTCTTTCTCTCTCTTTCCCTCTCTCTTTCTCTCTCGTTTCTCCACTTATTTTTCTTCTTCTCGCTTATGCAGGTCTCTCGCTCTCTCGTTACAGCTCTCCTCCGCGGCTTCGCGCCGGTATTTCTCTTTCTCTCTCCGGGTCGATTCCGCTCTCCGCGGCGTCCTTCGCTTTGTTCTTGCGTCGCTCTTTGCGAGTAATCGGTAGGTCGGTCCCTTCCTTTTTTTTTCTTTAATTGGCGACGATCGCGCCGGGGTTGATCCGCGTCGTGTGTAACCGGTGAGTGCTGACGGTCTCTCGTGGATCTTGCCGCGCCACCGCGAGCCTTTTTCTTGTTCCCAAGCTTGTCTTTGCGGTGCCTCCGGGCACCGTTCGTCTTTGCTGCGACCAGCGGTGTCTTGGCGAACACGCCACTGCTGCGGTCTATTCCCGTAGCAAATGTTTACCTGCTTTCGTTCTCGACACTTGTACGGCCGTCTCGTCCCAACGGCAGTCGGTTGCTCGATAACGTTGACACTCTTCTATGAGCCACCGGTCGGACGAAGGTTTTGTCTCACACGACGAGAAGAGCTCTCCTCCTCAAGCAGTCACACCTTCCTTCAAAGCGCGCGCTTCTCGCCCAGCATCCATTCGATTCGATCCTCGAATCCTCGGTAGCGTCTTCTTCGTCTCCTTCTTCTCCTCCTCCTCTCAGTTTCCCTCTTTTTATTCTTGTCTGCCAGCGGGCCCTTCTGTTCCCTACCTACTGGTCCTCGTTTTTCTCGTCACACCAGCTTCTTCTCCCTCGCCTGGAACTTTCACGATCTTTTTACGTCGCCCGGCGTGTCCGTCGGCCGATTCCTCTTCTCTTCGCGGCCACCTCTCGCCCGGCCGCACGCTCGACGCTCGTCGACTTTCCTCTCGCAATCGCCTTTTTTATCTCGCAGTTCCATTATTTCTCCTTCTGCCGGCTGTCCCTCTTCGTCCTGCTTCTCTCGCCGGCTCTCTACCCGGCTCCTTACACCCTCACCTCCCCGTTAACCCAATCTCTCTACCTCGTTCTCCTTTCTCCTCTCCGCGCTTTGCCCGCCCGGTGGCGGATCCGAGTCTTTCTCTCCCTCCAACACGTCGTCCGTATCCATCCTCCTACCGTCGCCTCCTCGTCTGCTTACACTTGGTCCTATCTCTCTTTGTCTCTTTCTCTCCTCCCGTCTATCTTTCTCCTGGTATCGAACTCTATCCTCCTCCGACTCGGAGTACGCTCCTTCTCATACCAAGTCGGCTCTACCGGTCGCCGGCCGACAAGATTGCCCGCAAGAGGTTCGCCGCCACCGCCGCCGCCGCAACGGAGCGAGAGCGGCTCGCCAGGTATAGGGAGACACAAAAAGGAAAAAAAGAACGCATTCCAACGGCTATAGTTGGTCCATAACGATTCCCATACGTTGAGCGCGCAACGAACAACCAATGACCCCTCTTACCGATCTCTCGCGCCTTCGTTCTCTCGCTCGCTTCGTTCCTCTCGTTCCCACCGAGAGAGTGGCTCTCTCTCTCTCTCTCTCTCTCTCTCTCTCTCTCTCTCTC